CCCGCTTTGAGCAATGGAGCTGGGAACCAATTTGATTCCCTTTTTCTCCAATGCAGCTGCAAGGCTCAGAGATACTGACATTTTTCCACTCTTATCAGTTTAATTACAGTTACCATGGCAGCAAAGTGCTAGTGCTTGGCAAAGGCCAACAAGAGATTTGCAAGACTGAGTTCAATTTTGATGCAGCTCACATGCAAAATAAAAAAAAAAAAAAAGAAACATACATACACTCTAACAAAGAATCCCTTGCGGAGTTTATGCTTCAGCCTTTTGTGGTTGTCTTTGCAGCCACACTGAGGTGGTTCGCAAAGAATGTAGCAGTATTTGTTGCACCTAGCAGGATTAATTGGTTTAAGCAGCAGTCCTTCAAAGCAGTTACAACAATAATATTTTGGATCTTTCAGAAAGGCACAAAAGCAGCGGAAGAGCAGGAAGGCTTTTGAGTAGCTCAGAGTGCAGAGCGCCCGCAAAGTGCATCTAGGATAGATCGTAACCTTACCAAAACTTTTCTCCCTTTTCTGCATGAGTTGACTTAGGCGTGCCTGCGTCGGAGCAGCTTCGCACTGAGCACCGACCCCACAGGTAGAAGTAGAAGGGAATCTCCTTGGTTCGGCTCAAGCGTGGACCTGGTGCACAGCCCGCACCACCGAGGACCGGCTATTGTGGAGCCACTTTGGGAGCGGGTCGGGTGGAGGCAGGGGTGGGGGAAGGGACGAGGGCGGCCGGGCTCGGCGAGCAAACAGAGCCCCTCGCAGGGTGGCAGTGTGCAAAATGATGGCGAATGACAAAGCCACATGCTTCCCTAACTCTGCCCGCGATCCTAAAATCCCAGCGGCCCTTTTTAGCTTCCTGGTAACAAATGGATTTGATTAAACTGTCACACGCAGCGTTAGCATAGCATATCATGCTCAATGGGAAAAAGATCATAAATCTGACTCGTATTTCATAACAGCAGTCTGAGGAGCCCCCGTGCAAATGCGCTGCCTCAGTTTGAATCTCAGCCCGTTAGCACCTGGGCTCCGGGTTCCACGGAGCCTCTTCCCTCCGACCGCTCCTCACCGCTCCCCTCCGGCAGCCACTTCTCCACCAGCACAGGGCAACCCCAACCTCGGGTCCTAAGGGTGCAGGGGGAAGATGCGGAAGTGTCCCCGAGACTGGAAAGGTGGTAATTTCAACTCTTGGTTGGGGGTTGGGGGCATACATTTGAGCAAGTACGGACAGGGGTCCCGGCGCGCCCCCGGGACTGAGTTCGCCTCCCACGGGCTGGAAGCCAACATTTCCGGCGGCAAACTCCCCCTGCCCTGGGCCCCGGGAGTCGGGCTGTGGAAATGCTGCAGTTGCCGGTGAACTTCGACTATTAGCCACGGAGTCGGACTTCAGAGGTTCCGCGCCGCAGCCGCGCGCCCTGCCCTCCTCTCGCATCTTCCGCCTGCGTCTATTTCATGTCTCATCATAAAAATAATGAAGCCTCACATGATTTAAACAAAACCGTCTCGGTAGAGACGCAGCCCGGGTGAAAGTTGCAGTGCGGAGCGAGACTGCAGCTCCAGTTTACGCCTCATTAGGAGACAGGCTGGGGAAGGGGAAAAAATACCCACATTCGCACACGCGCGCGCGCGCGCGCACACACACACACACACACCACAAATAAGCCGCCGCGTGTGTAACAGTCGCTACACTTACCTTCTCAATCAAGCAATACAGGGGGAGGCCGTTCAGTCAGCACAGTGGCTGCTTTGTAGCGCTTCTCCTTGGGAAAGGTCAAAAAGAAGCATTGTTTGAAAAAAGAAGCGGGGGGGAATCTCTATTTTTTAAGTTTAAAATAATGAGGTCCTCGAGGACCCCCCAAGTATTGGTGCTGACCGCATCTGAGCCACAGGTGTCCTCCTTTGAGGGAACTGCAGTCCGAGGCTGTCTCTCTCGTCCTGGCTCCAGACAACTAGCCGGGCTGCGCGGCTGGAGCCGAGCTGGAGGAAGCCCCAGCTCTCAGCTGCAGAACGCAATCCCTTCCCAGCCAGGCATAATGCAGCCAGAGAAAAGGTCATTCAGTTATTACTGAGCCGGCGGAGCCCGGGAAGCGCTGTCAAGACCACAGCGAAGCAGCTCCCTTCCGATTTAAGACTGTTTACCTCCCCCCTCTCCTCTTTCCTTCCCTCCCTCCCTCCCTCTCTTCTCTCTCTCTCTCTCTCTCTCTCTCT